GTCTAAATGCTCCATACAGTTTCATACGGGTGAAGTCCTCCGAACCTCCCACGCACTTCCCAGCTCTCCGGTACCATTACTACACTAACACCTCTATCTAACAGCTTCCCTCGCCGGAACAATTCCACTATCAACTTATCTTCGTTTCCAAAATTCTATTATTAGTTAACATCTCTCAATTTCATCTCATTCGAGGTATTAAATTGCTCACCACAATATATATATATCAATTTCATACTCCTTAAGGTAAAATCTTGATTTACCCGCCCTGGTCTAAAAATAAGCTGCATGCATACGTGCACCTGAAACTCTTTTCATAAAATTCCATTAATTTTTCACGTTCTTCAAATCCCCAAAAATAAGGTGTCATAGCTCCTACATCTAAAGCATGACAACAAACAGCTAATAAATGGTTTAAAATACGTGTTATTTCAGAAAATAAAACTCGAATATATTGAGCTCTTAAAGGGATATCGCAATTTAATAATTTTTCAATAGCTAAAACATAAGCATGTTCTTGACACATCATTGAAACATAATCTAATCTATCGAAATAAGGTAAAGCTTGTAAATAATTTTTATATTCTATTAATTTTTCAGTACCTCTATGTAATAAACCTATATGAGAATCAGCTTTTTGAACTACTTCACCATTTAATTCTAAGATTAAACGTAAAACACCGTGCGCAGCTGGATGTTGTGGTCCGAAATTTATAGAAAAATTTTTAATTTTTTTTAATGACATTTTTATTTATTATTATTTTTTAATCAAAAAAAAATATTTATAAATTAATTTTTATATAAATATATAGCATATATAGTAAGTAAATATTTTAAAAATATTTATTTCTTTTATCACATTATGATTTTTCAAGAAATTTTCAATAATAATTTTGAAATTATTATTCCTGAATTTTTTTTAACAACTATTTTATTAATTTTATTATTATTTGGAGTTTTTTATAAAAAAAATCAAAATATGCAAAAAATTTTGATTATAAAAAATATTACTACTATAATAATATATTTATTATTAATTCTTTTAATATTAACATTAAATATAACAAATATTTCAAATAATATATTAAATGGTGTATTAATTATTAATAATTTTACACAATTTATTAAAGTAATTTTAATTTTATCAACAATTGTTTGTTTTTTAATACAACAAAAATATTTAATACAACAAAAAATAAATGCATATGAAATTAATATATTAATGTTAATATCATTATTAGGTTTAATGTTATTAGTATCGACAAATCATTTAATTACTTTGTATTTAGCAATAGAATTACAAAGTTTAAGTTTTTATATTTTAACATCTACACAAAAAAAATCATTATTATCTATTGAGGCTGGATTAAAATATTTTATTTTAGGATCAATTGCTTCAGGTTTTATATTATTTGGTTCTTCAATAATTTATGCTATTACAGGTTCCTTAAATTTTAATAATATTTTTTTAATATTATCAAATATAAATTTTTTAGAAAATATTAATATTTTAATAAGTTTATCTTATGGATTAATCTTTATTTTAGTTGGTATTTTATTTAAAGTAGGAGCTTCGCCTTTTCATTTTTGGTTACCTGATGTTTATGAAGGTGCTCCTAATAATATTTCTAGTTTTTTTGCTATTGTTCCGAAAATAGCTTTTATTGGTATTTTAATTCGTTTATTTTTTGAAATTTTTTTTAATATTTCATATTTTTTTGAAATTTTTTTTTATATTATTTCATTTTTATCTATGTTAATAGGTGCATTATCCGCATTACAGCAAAAAAAAATTAAAAGATTATTAGCTTATAGTTCTATCAGTCATGTAGGTTTTATTTTAATAGGATTTACTTCAAATATGTTAAATAATATTCCATTTATTTTATTATATGTTCTTATTTATATTATAACAAGTATTAATTTATGGACTTCATATTTATCTTTAAATATAAATCATAAACCAATTAAATATTTAACAGATTTATCAAATATACATACTATTAATAAATTAATTGCTATTATTATTATTATAAATATTTTTTCATTAGCAGGTATCCCACCATTAGCAGGTTTTTTTTCAAAATTATTTATCTTTTTTTCAGCTATTAAAAATAATTATTTTAGTTTAGTTTTCTTTGGTATTTTAATAAGTGTTTTAAGTTCTTTTTATTATCTAAAAATAATTAAAATTATTTATTTTGAAAAAATATTAAGAAAAATGTATATATCAAAAATAAATAAAATGCAAAGTATAGTGTTAATTATTAATACTCAATTTATTTTATTTTTATTTATTTACCCTAATATTATATTAGTAAATTTCATCAGCGTCGCGTAGAAAATGAAAGTTTAGCGAGAGAGTCGTTCAAAGGAAGGTGGACGCATTATGGCTCAATTTTGATCGCATTCACTGGACGTCGATTGTGATCAACACTGCGACCAAGAGCATTTTCATTTACGACCCTTTGGGAGATCCAGACTACATTGCGTACCTGAACAAAATCAAAACGCGCCTTTGCAAAGAGAGCAAGTTTGCCTCGTACAAATCCGTTGTTGTGGCATCTCCTACCCAGAACGACGGGAATAGCTGTGGTATTTACGTACTCAACTTTATGTGGAGGCTTCTTGACGACAAGATCAGCAATGTGCAGAAGGACCCTCAGCTGAATAGCTTTAGAGCTCGGATGTTGTCCGCACTACTAAGTCAATAAATGCACTCATTTCATGTCAGATATTGAAGTAGTATTTGAGTCCGATCTTATCCGTGTTGCCGTCGGTAAAACCTCAAGTACAAAAACCTGTTTTATAACCTGTTGTCAAACCTGCTAGAGATCCCTTGACATATTTGGGATATCGTACTGATATCGCTCTAAGTACATGTACAACAACCTGGTGTAAAACCTGTTTGAATACCTGGGATGATGTGGCGTGTCACGTTTACATGCACAAAACTGAGGGGTCTCCGACGTGTCCCAGACACTGTATGTGCACCACACAAGAATTGTAGACCTGCCATCCAATCATTATGATTACAGCAACCTCCGCACTTCAACAAATTGGGTTGTGCAAATCCTTTTATTCCACCGTCTCGTGAGTATGCAGAGCTCTAAACAAAACAAAGAAAGGCCATGATACGTAAATTACATATTTTTTTCAATGCGAAATACATTACGACCTGGTTTCAATCCTGCTTCAGAGGTTAAATACGCACATCTATGCACCAAAAACCTGGGCAGTAACATCGTGCAATCCCGAACTTTAGCATACCCACAACTCACAACACGACAATTTATTCACGCGAG